TTGTTACACTTTCAAGACTTACAAAATCTGATAATAATCATTCTGTTTCATTTTGGAAAACACTTGCTGAAATGGGTAAGCATGGCACTTTTAATAAAAAAAAAGGCTTTTAAGGCCTGTGTGAAGTTATGGTTAAAATAACAAACTGACATGAAGCAGAAAAAGGATTACAAAATTTAACATATTCTGAAATTTTTTTTGATTTTATATCAATTCTTGCATCTTTAAGTCCACGAGCATACAATCTTTTTCGACAAAATTTGGCTGGAAGAACAATTCAAAATATTAGGTATATAAATTATAAAAATTTAATATGCTAAACAAATTATTGTAATTTGCAAAAAGATGTGACCTCGCAGATCATGATAAATTAGAGAATCAAATGATTTTTCGATTCTAAAAGAATTTTACAGATTTCAAAAATAAATATATTACTAATTGAATATATAGTTGATAGACAATTTTAGAATTTCTGAGATTTCTACTATCATCATCATGGAAATCACAGGGACCTTTTTGCAAACTACTATAGTATTTAATATTAAAATTTTAAATTATTTTATCATTGATATTTTTATATTTAGATTGCAAAGATCATGTTCTGAATATGCACTTCATGATATTAGCCTTTGTTATAAAAATGTTGTACAAGTTAAGTGATTAGTAGATACACTTCAATATAAAGGACTATTAATAGTGATGACAAATAATACAAAACTTAAAGAACAGCTTGGATATTCATCTCTTCTTGGATGTATTGTTGGTTCAACACTTCCAGCTTTACAAACCCGTGTACAAAGTCATAATAATATCTATACAATAATTGATAAAATTAAATCAAAAAATGCAATTGCTTCACAAGTTAGAGTATATTTATTGCAAATAAGGTTATGAACTTAGGGGTTTTAGAATTAATGATTCGATATTTGATTTTAAATAAAATAAGTGTTCAAAATAAGTGATATATAAATTTGATTTTTTAAAGCATATACTTATTTACTTATCAAAGAAGCCAATTTTATCACTGGTTTTACCTATTAATTTTCTAATTCAAAATTTTGAAACAGAAAAATAGAATTTTTTAAATTTCTACTTATTTTCAAAATAAGTTAATTTTGAAGCCTCCAATTTATTATATATTTTAAATTTTAAATTTTATATTTAGTAAAATATATAAATATATATAATATATACGTTTTAATTAATTTTAGATTCCTATATCAAAATTTCTACCATCAGTAATCGCATTAATTCTAAATTGCGGTAAAGAAAATGCAGAAGATATTTTTAAGATGCATTAAGATTTGTTTAAAATGGCTGCTCAATTAGAACTTCCAATTTTGGCATTTAGTGCTGACTGTGCTTCTCCAGAGTTTAATACACAAAAAAAATAATGAAAATTTCAACATTACATAAACTTGAATTTCAGAATAACTTATATAGTAAGTATTAATTAAATTATACGTATATTTAAATTATTATTATATATATATATTAATTTTTAATTTTGTAGATATTAAATTTAGTTGTTCAATTATTGAAAATGTCAGTCCTGTAATAAGTATTTCTGATCCGCTTCATGCTAAAAAGGATGCACGAAATGCATTATTTTCTGATACATGATTGTTAACATTTGGTCATACTACAGCATGTTATGATCATATATTAGAATTGAGTCAAAGTCCTAATAGCATATTATATAAACGAGATGTTAAAAATGTTGATCGCCAAGATGATAGCACTGCATATTAGCTATTTTGTTCATCATTACTTAAACAAGTTTCTGATCAAAATTTTTCTGTTAATAAAGATAAACTGGGTCTTTTTATTTATCTTTATATATTTGGTAATTATATTAATATATATTTTTTAATCTAAATTATAAATTTAAATTTAATAATGATATATAGTAATTTTTTAATAAATAGGTGAACTTATAGATGATTTCAAAATCAAGAAATAAAACCATTAGATTGATGTTATATGGTTATGCTTGGTTACTTTTTTTTATACAATTGAAAATATTATATACAAGTATATGCAAATACAAGTTTTGATTTTATGAGTTTACAAAAAAATTTTTTAGCAAGTAAAACATTTAATATTTTAACAAGTCTTATAGAATCAATGTTAGCTTTTAATAGAGATTTAGTTAGCTAATTATAGATTTGTATTTTTAAAATTCCTGGTTTTCGGATTCTCTTATAATACATGATACATGATCATAGTAATTTGAAAAGTGCAGTAATTTAAAGGTTTTATATTAACTCAATTCTTTTTAGATATTACTTGTTATTGCATATCGTAATTTTTATCCAACATATCTATTTGTACCGTGGATGTATAGTTCTGAAGGCTGCGAACATTTTTTTGGATTAGCACATCAATTATTATCAGATTTTTTATTTAATAATCTTATCACTTTAGTTCCTAAAATATCATATCTTTATAAAGCATATACATCTGAATCAATTTCAGTTTTTAAAAAGAAAACTTCTGCAACAGGTATAATTTATTGATGTTAAATATTATATGCTATATATTGTTTATTAACAATTTGTATTTTATAGGTTATTTTTCTCATTATCAGGATGATAATATTTATAAGCATATTGATAATTTGCAGCAATGGCCTACAAATGAAGAAATTAAAGCTGTAATTCATCAAGCATTTAAACATGCAAAAATTTTAACCGAGAATATATTAGATATGACATCTATTTCTCTTCAA